CAGTGAGGACAGTACTGCACCAGCCATCTCTCAGCTCCTCTTGAGGGAGGGCCATGGCTGTGTAGCCCAACTATAATCCTGGCAGGCACTCAGAGGGTGGGGGGCAGGACTGCATGACCCGGGCCAGCCCCAACAGACCGTCAGGGAATGGGAGGGGATGGGAGCTGCAAGGCCTCAGAGACTTGGGATGGATGGGGCTGCACAGGCTGACAAGTTGCACCAGCCATCTCTCAGCTCCTCTTGAGGGAGGGCCATGGCTGTGTAGCCCAACTATAATCCTGGCAGGCACTCAGAGGGTGGGGGGCAGGACTGCATGACCCGGGCCAGCCCCAACAGACCGTCAGGGAATGGGAGGGGATGGGAGCTGCAAGGCCTCAGAGACTTGGGATGGATGGGGCTGCACAGGCTGACAAGTCCTGGGGTGGGGAGTGGGGCAGCACTGGTCAGCCCCAGTGGTGCTTCTAGGGGTGGGCAGATATGTCTGGTCCTGGGGCAGGGGAGTTTAGGGTTAGTGGGGCCACTTACCTGTGACCGGTGGCCAACAATATAGAGAGTTCTGGCTCCAGCTGGCCACTTTCTTCCTGGTGTAGCCGGCCTCCTACAGTCACTCTGCTATATAATTGTCCCCTGCGCTCCCTGCCCTCAGTGGTCATTGTGGAGCATAGTTGTCCCTGCTTTCAGCCTCCTCCCTTTGGGTATGTCTACACTACAGCACTAATTCGAACTAACTTAATTCGAATTAGTTAATTTGAACTAAGCTAATTCGAACTAGTGCATCTAGACCTAAAAACTAGTTCGAATTAGCATTTTGCTAATTCGAACTAGCATGTCCACATTGAGTGGACCCTGAACCGAGGTTCAGGATGGCCAGAAGCAGTGCCGGCAGGGCATCAGATTAGGACTTAGAGTGTGGAGCTGCTGTCTCAGGCTAGCCGAGGGCTGTGCTTGAAGGGACCCGACCCCCACCCTGGACAGACAGTTCTCAGGGGTTCCCCACTCACTTGTCTAACTCGATGAGGGACAGCAAAGCAGTCCTGGCTTGGAGTGCCCTGAGTGCCCACACTTGGCACATCACAGCACTCGGCCATTAGCCCGGCTGCACTTGCCGCAGGCTGCCATCCGGGAAGGGTCAATCGGGGGGCTGCAGGAGTGATTGCCATCTC